CTCTTTCCTTTCGCTGAAGGGAGCGTGATCGGCAACAAGGGTTTCCAGCTTGTGTTGCCCGCGGGCTCTGACTGAACATGCACAAATGGCTTTGCTGAATCGCGCTGCAAGAATTTGTGGGATGGGAGCAGGATCTCTCTTTGGCTATTTTGCAATGGTGTCCTCAAGCCCCTGCTCCACAGAACAGCCTGTCGCTGTAACAGCAATGTCGCTGTCCCAGGATGCAAGAATTGATGGCTCTGGGACCTGGTTCCTGGAAGCAGGCGGCCCGTTGAGCTGGGAAGGTGCCCCCGTGCCCTGGCACTTCTGTCTGCCACAGGAGCAGGGTGCGAGTCACGTGAAGCTGGGAAGGAACAGACCATACAGCAGGCTGTGCAAGTGGCTGTGTCCTTCATTTGCTCCCCCGTGCTAATTTAAAGAGAGGAGCGTGGGGGGAATGCTCAGGAGTGGGCAGCCGGATGTCTTTTCCCACATGGTGACAGCATGTATTTAGCCACCGACTGAAGACATGGGAGTGAGCTCTGAACCCGCACTTATTGCTTCCTCTGAGCAACAAAGGACTGGAGCAACCAGCTCTGCCAGAGCCTAGGAAACCAGCTGGGGTGGAGCGGGCTGGCTCCGGGCACTGGGACAGAGTCCGTGTAATGCAGGGTGGTGGCAGCTAAGTCAGCACGGCATCTCCTGTGATCCAGTGGGCAGGCATCCAGGAGAGCAGGCTCGCTGGTAATCCTGGTGACTGCCCCAAAGACTGGAGGGAAGAGGTCACACAGCACAAGCTTCTTTATGCCACCCAGTTTGCTGGCTGCTGCAGTGGCGGTGACTGGCTGATGCTCCAATAAGGCAGTAATAAAAGGCGAGTGGTATCAGTGGCCTGTGCACCCCTGCCCTGGGTTTCCCCCTGCTTGTAGCTGGACCAGCTCGGAGTTTAAGACAAGAAGTCTAGCGCAGGCAGGGCCTCTGCGTGCAGACTAGCACTACGTTGCCCACATCCTGTGCCCTGCCTAACTGTCTCGACAAAGATCTCCTACTTCATCCTTTATCACCTAGGTTTTATTGCCAATGAACTGGTTTTGAGACGGTAGCATCTTCCGTTCAACACAGCCAGGAGGTGTCTGAATGAGACCCTGCAGCACAATCCATATGATATGGAAAAGCATGCCATGCCCATTAAAGAAAGACTCAGGAGGCCTGATGTAAAGTAGTGTGATAAGATTAATGGATAACCAGCCCCTTCTGGTTTTGCGGGTGCTGCATGCTCCACGTACAGCCCCAGCCCATTCCTGCACTGCCAAGATTTGAGGCTAGAGATCAAGTCATTCATCATCCCAGCAGCAGTGCTGAAGCAGCCACTGTCAACAGTTGCTAGGAATTGCTATTAAACACCTTTTATCTTTTGCTTAAGAGTGTTATCCACTTGAGGACCAGAAAAGAGACTCTCTAGCAAAGCTATTTTGAGGCTGACAAGCCAAAAATGCAATGCAATCAAAAATACACTAATGATCATCACAGCATCTTAGCCACCCCAGCAACCATCATCCATTGCCTCTTGCCTATTCACTTCCACCTTTTAGGATAGTTGGACCATTGAGACTGCTTCTGCACGATGTCCTTTGAGCAGGGTCTAAGCTAGTAGTCTCTGGGCAGGCGGGGGCTGGGGAAGTCTCATTTCTGCACGTGGCTGGAGACGAATACACCGGCTCTCCGGCTGGTTACGGGCAAAGTTTTAAAAAAATCACCGTTCTCCATGAAATTAGGTGTTTAAACACTGAGGAAAATGAGGGTAATCCCTTCTGAAGGCTTTAAATTCAGGACTCCAAAATCTGCTTTGGCTGATGTTGGAGACCCTTCACGAACAGGCTCAGAACTAAGACCCACAGGATTTCGGCTGGGTTAGAAAACAACAGACCTCAGCCTGGCCTCTGGGCTGAGGCTCAGATGCAACAAAGCTGCACTTGAGAAATCAAAGCTAGTTTAAGCTACAATGCTAATAATCACTCCAGGACCCTTCCCCCAGCCCTGCTGCACAACTAGGGGTGAAAATGCGCTCGTACTAGTCATTCCCAGTACTAAGAACTGAAAGCTGGGAGCTGGGGTGGAGAGGGGTGGTTGTACTTGGAGGGAAACCAACATCTTGAAGAAGGTAAAGGAGACAGGACTGGTCTCCCCAGCTCTGCCTCCGAAAGGACGGGGCTTGACGCAGGGTGTCTGGAGCCTGGCTAGAAAGCAGCAAAGAGTGTGGAGCAAATTGCAGGAGCCAGAACCACAGGGGCTGGAGGCACAAAACGGCTCCATCGACATGCAAATATAATGTGGCCTCCCCTTGCAATGGGGACCAGTGCTGTCAGACTCACCCGAATCCTTCTCATGGCTGCAACGATCTCCACGCGGCTGTTGGGCCTCGGCACGTCCAAGCTGCCGATGTACTGAAAAACACAACCACGAGATGGGTCTAGAACATGCAGAATAGGAGGCAAAGTGGCCCTGGCATCTTCAAAATAAGCAGCAACTTTTGAGTAAGCTAGTCCCTGGGCGGCTGGGTTTTTTTCTCTCCCGGTGATAATGCTATCAGTGCTGACAGTCCTTCCAGACTTGGGATTGCAAAAGCCAGCTCCCTCCACGAAAGCACATCTTGGTTCCTCCTAGTTGTGTCAGGGCTGATGGGAGTCTTATGTAGAGTTTAGATTATGGATTGCATGGGATAATTTGGACAGGGCTGACCCTGCCTCAGGCAGGGGTTGGACTAGATGACCTCTGGAGGTCCCTTCCTGCCCTACCCCCCTATGATTTCTTTGACCTCCCTGCTGCCTTCCTGCTTGCCCAGCTGAGTGGAGCTCCCCTCTTGATCCCAGAGGGCAGGCCAGAATCTGTATCCTGCACCGCTCCCTCTTGAACCAAGAGCAGCCGCCACCTGCAACACCAAGTGCCCATCTGAGCTTGCACGGGCATCCGTGGCCTGCCTGGGTGCTAAAACAGACTACGTTTCATTGCAGCTTCTTAAGCAGGGGTGCTGACACTCATGGCAGATGGAGACCTGATGACAGCAAGCTAGTGTGCGTGTCCAGCCAGACCTTGGCTGCCTCCACAGCATCTAGTATTGAGCTGCATGCTGGATGCCCTGGGCTGGCACGAGAGCTAGTTCTTGCCTTACGCTCCCTATGGCGAGAGCGCTGCCACCTCACGTGCCATCACAATCTGCTCATGCACGTGTGCCAGGCTGGCTGAGCAGGGTGATGGGAGCAGTGATGCGGAGGAGCTGGCCTGTGCCAAGAGGATTCAGCTGCGCCGCAGCAGGCACTGCAAACCACGCGCAGCAAACCCGCGGAGCGAGAGCTGCCAGGTACCAGCAGCAAGCCCAGCAGTAGGAAGCACAAGCGGCTCATGGCTTGGGGAGATCCCATGGATGGACGAATAATCTGCGTGGGGCAAAGGGCCAGGGGCTGATTTCACACCTCTCGTACACGCTCTCCTCCTGCAACGAGGAAGCGGGCTGGGGAGAGCAGGGAGCCGTCCTCCGGAGTCGTCCTCCAGACCCTGCGACTTGCCTTGGCAGGGGAATAGCCGAAGCAAAAATGTCGGTTCCCAAAGCCCTTCCCATGTGTCCTGTCATTACTTCACTGCTACTGCATGCAGCCCATCTTTCCTCACGGCTACGGCAGGCAGCCTGCCTTCCTCCTCCACATGAGTCGGAGGCGGCGGCTTGAAAAATGCTTCGTTTCTGCTTTATAAGAGTACCTGGCTCATGAGTCAGAAGGAGTTGCTGTAGGGTGTGGGGCGGTGTATGCTGTTGGACTTCTTTTGTCAGCAAGTCAGGGAAACCCTGGAGAAACCTGACCTGTCCTCCTGGCTGAAACCAGTGCTGCTTAATAGGCAGCTCTAGTGCTCTCATTGTGCACGTTCAAGTCTGCAGGTTTTGCAGCACTGAGAAACCCTCAACTGGCAGGAGCGAGGGGCCTGGTGTGGCGTCTGCTCTGCAAACCCAGGTGTGACAGCTCCTCGCACCAGTAAGCGCTCTGTTCCCTGGCTTTTTGGCTGCATATTTAGTACTTTCACCTGTCTAAAAACAAAATGAGCATGGACAGCAATTTGAAAGATCATCTGGGTTCACTAGAGCATCCTTTTTAAATGCCTCTACCTCCTCTACAAAAGCCCTTGTCTGGATAGCCCGGTGACCTGCTCTCATGGCTCAGGAAGGATTTTCTGAGCAAACAGGGAGGAAAGGATGGGACTGGATCTCCCAGGATGGGGAAGGCACTTGCCAGGATCCATGTGGTCTGGCATCTGGCCCCAGCTGCAGAAGGATACAGCCTGCAGGGTTGCAGACAGGGCGTGCGGGATTCAATGTAGGGAGGTAGGCTGATGCCTGGGAACCCTCCCACCTGTCAGCAATGGTGAGGAGTCTGCACCACCTACAGCACAGACCCATGGCAGGGAGAAGAGCCAGTGAGAGTGGGGACCTTGCTCGCAGACACCTTCCCACAGCCCCACCTGTGACCATGGCTGGGTCCCCTGCAGAGCCCCGTTGATTTCTGCGGGCTCCGCCAAGGTAGAAGAGTCCCCCCACGTTCACCTTGCTTGGCTGAGGTCTTTAGGGACAAACGTCTACTGCTCTTAAGCTCAAGGCAGCGCAGCCCAGTCCTGACCCCGGAAAAATCAGCTTGAAACACTGGCAGCAAGCAAATGTCACTTAACAAGCGAGCCGCATACTAAATGGCTTTGTCGTCCTAAAGGTTGCTGCCTGAATGGCATACCCACAGGAGCCTGTGATGGGGAAGAGAAGCCCGTAGCAGAACTAAGTAAAAAGGTTTATTAAGGTAATCTCTCTCCTAAGGTCTCTCTCTAGCAAAAGAGGCAGCAGTCCAGCACGGAAAAAGCAGCTAGAGAACTACACTCGAGCGAGCCAATCCCGTAGTTCTTCCACAATCTCCACGTATTAAAAGCACAACCTCATTTCAGTTGCTTTTCTTTTCTGGTGCGTGTTTCCTTAACCCCGCGCAGCAGATGCAATGTTTGTAAGCATTCAGACCCCCCTCCTCCCTGAAGAGCTAGATTTGGGAGAGAGATTTTAATTGCTCGTCTCCCCCATCCTAGAGAAACGCACAGCTCCTTCAGCAGGAAAAGGCACAAGACCCCCATGTTCACACCGCCGCTTTCCCCGCAGCCTGGGGGAGGGGGGCTAAGATTCCCACTTGTAATCTGCGTCAGGCCACCTGCGAGGGGGCGAGAGCCGCCCCGGCAAAACCCAGCTCTCCCCTCCGCCAGGCTAGAAACCGGCACCGCGACCCGCCCGCAGTCATTTCACGCAAAACCGATGCGGTGAGGCCTGGCTGCTTTCTGCGTGAAGTCCCCCCGGCGCCGGCACGGGTAGCCAGCCTGCTTTTCCAGGAGCCGCGTGCCTCCCCGTGAGCACCTGGCCTGGGGGGCTTGTCCGGGACAAGGCGCTGGCGTGCATCCTGGTGCAGCGCCCGTGCCCGCGTCCCTGGCACCCGATGCCTGCGCTCTGGACCACTCGGCAGGCAAGCAGCCGGGGCCCGACCCCAAGGGCAGGGAAGCCGGTGCGAGCCCGTGGCCGGGATGGTCGGGG